TGCTTGTACAACCCTTAAACATCACGTGTTAAAACAAAATTTCGACAGCGTCGTTGTGGTACACCGGAGGACTTACAGGGGGGCAAAGTATCAACGAGCATTCATTTCCTGATAAACACACAGAACGAAAGGACAAATTAACAAGTACGAATTCTCACGGAAGGAATTAAAATTACGGCTACCACGGAGATTACACGCACAGGGGCGTTATGGCGGATGATCTGGTCTTTTAACGAAAAACAACGCCAAAAATCGCGTTTCAGAATATACCAAGTTCGACATGGAACTATTTTCTACAAATGTAATCATCATATTTACGTTCTCATAAGCACGTTTTGTTCCTCAGTTTCTAAAATGCCCACAGGATCACGAAGAATCTTCTGATGTTCGAGGAAGTTTCTCATCTTCAGTGCCGACGCGCAACGCTCATGGATTTAAACTGACATCAATATAACCTGTTTCGATAATGGTCTATTCAAAACTCGCCAGTGTACATGATTTGAAAATAAATATTAAGCCGAGAAATGACATTTTTCCGTATTAAAAACAAAATTTATCATCGCAACGTCACAATGTCTACCATTTCCTTTCTGCAACATAAGAAAACGTCTTATGACTTGGCGTTTTCGCATACAGACCTCACTCTGACTTATTTCGGACTCCACTAATGAAGCTCCTGGCAAACCACAGAGTCTGTGTTATTTTTAATAAAAAAAAGGTCTCTTTATCGCACTCAAACAATTTCTTTAATGTTTCCTATGGACAAAGGAGTCACTGCTACTTTCGTAATCTTCAAAGTTAAATTCGGTAACTGATCAACCAACAGGAAATTATCTACAAAGTTGTTTCAATTTGAAACAACGACGAAAGTTATAAAAAGTATCCGCTTAGAAACGTAACATCCATTTTTAAGCTTCATTCCACCGGAATTACGTTTTGCAAAAACGAATTGTTTGCGTTAAGCGAGGCTTCACAGAAACGTGGCACACGCGTTACGAAATTTACTTTTTTGTGGGCATAAAAGCACTTCTTTTGATAATATTTTTTTGTTCTGGAGTGACCCAAACTCTCGCCCAGAGCACAGCGGGGTCCTCGCGTGTGGCAGGGGGGGGGTACCACCGTTCGAACAGAAGCCACCCGGCGAGTGAGGGGGTGGGGGGGTGCAGCCTGAGGTGAGGTGAGGTGAGGTGAAAGAGGTCCGGACCATGATAAGTGAATACTGTACCTCAGATACAACCAGCCACACGCAAAGAACATTTCGAAACGGCTGAAAAACCACAATGGAAGATGGCCTTAGGGCGTGGAGCAGCGACGTAAGGCTACACACACACTAACACACTCAATGTGAAGAAGCAGCTTCACCACAACAACAACAACAACAACAACAACAACAACAAAACAAATTGTGGTAATGACGGATTTCCGTGTTTCTGCCCAGCGGTAAGTGAAACAGCCTATTCTATGAGGACGCATCGGGAACAAAAACACATCACAAAGCGGAGGGCACAGGAAGACGAACGAGTGAGCGTGTTCCTGTCTTTTGGACATAACGACGTATGTGAAGTCCCACCTCATCCGACACACGAAGACTGATTAAGTAAAAGCAAGCCATTTCAGGTTCTATGCAATCTTTTTGTAACAAAAACTGCCTTCGAAAGATCATTTTTTATCTGCAATTTGGAGCAAACGGGACCTAAGACCACTGACATACGAAATCACAAAATGTAGCATCTGATGTTTCCTCGGCGGTGAGTCCGAAGATGGCGGTCTTCTGGGTTGTAGTCCGGTAGAGACTTACCGACGTTTCAGAGGTCCATGTTGCGACACTCATCGCCCTGATGATGGAGGCAGCTTTTACCAGACTACGCGGCGCTACAACCCAGACTCGCACTCACAAAATGCCCGTTCTGAGAACACGTGCATTCTTTGATCGAATGACTTAAAATGGCGCAACGCTGAGCGTCCATTACCGACCACCAGAACCACCGAGAGTTCACATCGTATGTTGCTTTGTCCGAAGTCGTTCCGAACTGGAGGAGAAAACCCGAAGACTGCTTTGGCAATACGCACAATTTATCATAAAAAAATGAATTTACAGAAAAATCGGCGCCAGTGCATATCGCACGTATGCACGCAGGCCTCTGGATGCCTGCGCAGTAATGACGTACTCCATCTCGAACCTTGAAACCAACCAGAAGGCTAACTAAGCGGGTTCGAAAGTTTAATGTTTCGATTCCTTCCTCCTTCAAAACACAGAACACCATTGACGTGTTCGGTTCTGTTATGAAACACAGAAACGGACGACGTGGTCGACATTGGCAGTTACTGAACGCTGAATCAGATAGTGCGCATAGTTAAAATCGCTTTACTGAGGGTTAGGTTAAAAACGATACATATCGATAGATTGTTTTTTTAACATTATAGGCCAATATCACGAATTAAACAAGTAGCTGGAAAAATCTGATAAGAACAGTACAACTAAAAATTAAAATGATATCCCTACGTTGAATTTTCGAGTAAGAGACAGATTAAGAATTCTTAAATCTACAATAATTATTCGTCATAAAGTTGGACTCATTACACGTATTTTAACAGAAGACTAAGGACGTTTCGGTAAGACGACGTTAAAATAAACTGTACTATCCACGTGAATGTGCGACCTGATCCGAGAGCCATTGTGAAAGGAAACATTTCTAGCTTTACGTCTTCTGATTAAAAAAGGCACACGCGAGCAATACGAATCTCTCTATAATAAATTTTTTTCCGAATAACGTAAAAATCCACGCGTGACTGATCA